AGACAAATTTAAGGTTCAAGAAGGCAAAGACCTAAAAGAACGTTAATATTTACCAATTATGAGTTTGCGTAAATTTTAAATCTGATGATGGCGCTGTTGTCTCGCCGAAACGTAATGAAATAAACGATATTCAACATTTTTCTTCACACTTTGACTGACACCCAGGAGAGCTAAGATTACATTTGTTGCTTGATGTACAGGGTGGCCCAACGCTCATTTAACCGAAAAACGAACATGACTATGGACACCCTGTACCCAAATGCGTGCCAATTGACTTAATAAGTCTCCGGTAATAAGCTCAGAACATTTTTCCAGCCAACGTTGACACGTCCTACTAATCTATCTAATTGTCCTATCGCACATCTTTCCAAATGGAAAATTAGGTTGAAATTGATTTTCGTTTGTTTATGGCAGTCGTTTCTATGGAGCTTCATTTATTATTAACCGAAACGTTTATCCATAGACAGTGACCATTAACCGGGGAAATGGAGCGGACTGAGCGGCTGTCCCATTGCTGGGTGACAGTGACCAATCAGCGGGCCCGTCAACTGGTTGCCCGGGCAACTGCTTTGTTGTTATCTAGATAGCTGTCACTGGGCGTAGGAGGCGTCCGTCCATGGACACCTCGATAGTCCGATTCCATTGAAAATCGGCATCAGGCCGGCTTTGGACAGTTACCAGCTAGTGCCAAAAGAGCGAGTTGGGCGGGAGGATTTTTCCGAACTGAACACGAGCAAACAATGTCAAAAGACTGACTCAAAGGTTGCTTAGTTTAGTTAGAGCCGATTTCCGCCCACGTCTCCTGCCTCCATCCAATCCTACATGACCCTGCTGAAGGTGAAGAGCGTGCACAGTTCGAAAATGGAGAACGGCAAAGAGCTGAGCCAGATGTTCATCGAGGACGAAACCCTTCAACTGTCCGCAGGTGAATATTTCCAGCCAATCCGGTCAATGAAGCGAGCCAGTTTCGTCTCCGCAGGCTCCTCCCGCAGACCGAGCGACGAGAGCGTGAAGAGCCTCAATCTGCCGCTGGATCGGGACATGGTGAAAGTGGTGACGCCGCGTCCTTTCACCAGCGACATCGACAACGCCACCACCAAAAATCGCTCCAAGTCCCTGGTGAACATTTCCCGAAGGAACCGAAGCCCCTGTTTCGACCATGACGGCCTGGGGAACATCGAGGAGAGCCCCAAATATACGGCCTATCGACGGGGCTCCTGGCAGCAACAGAAAGCCGACCTGGTAAGTACAGTTTGTTGCTGGACCACTGTGTATACCAGCCCCCAATGAACTAGCGGCAATGTAAAAGGGGGCGGAGTTAAGCTTGACAGGCGCTGTCCATTCCTCGATTTTCCAATAAGGGGGCGGAGCTGTGAGTGCGATTGGGTGGTTCAAAATCTGGCCGGCGCTGTGATGCTGCAGCTGCTGCCAATCAGAGCGTTCAAAGTGCCAAAGTTACACTGTGACCCAACGTAAACGGGTTAATTGAGGGCGACCCCCACTGTTTACCTGGACAGATTCCGGAATAGCTCCGGTTTGAGTAATTGATGATGGCTGTCCATAAATAGACGCCATTAAGTAGTCATGAGGATTTCCAGGACACCATATGCTGAAGAGACACGTCGACTGACGTCAACCTAGCCATTATGTGCTACCTTATTTATGGAGAAACATTTTTTCGAGTCGCTTTCATTATTTATGAAGCCTTGGAAATGCATACGTGCAGTGTTTGGGCCGCAGGCAGGCTATGGACTTTTTACCACATACTTGGATATCAATTTTTCCACTCGAAGGGACAATGTTGGGTGTTTTTAGCCGAAATTGAACAACTTTGTCGCCATCAAGGACGCTTTTGGAGCCCAGCTGGACACCGACCAAACGATCACCTTGCCCGGCACGCCACTGCCCTCCCTGGTCCAGAACTGTGACGATGAGGTTCCGGAGGATCCGCCCCCAATGACGCCCCCCGCAGAAAGATCGCAGGTAAAGTTGACTTTTTCGCATTCCGAATGCCCGCCTGGATCGATTTGCAGAACCCAAATCCGGACAGTCTGTTCTTCCGGGATGGGCGGCGCAAAATCGACATGGTGCTGGTGTACGAAGAGGAGGAGTTGGGCGTGATGACGGAGGCGGAGGCCAAAAGGAGGGACAATCGCAAGATTTTCCAGGTAGGTTGGAAGGTTCTGATCGGTACGGGGGTGGTGCGATTGACTTTGTCTGGATCGTTCCAGGAGAACTTGGTGAAAGAGGGTCTGGAACTGGAGCTGGAACACAAGGAGCTCTCTTTTGATGGCAAAACGTGGTTTCTGAAGATTCACTTGCCGTGGAAGACCAAAACGCGATATGCGGCGCTGATGGGCATGAAGCTGCCAGTGAAGCGGTTTATCACCATTTCGGTGAAGGCTTGGGTAAGTGATCAAAAATCGGGGCTGAGTGCCATTTGAGGGAAATTTTCGGGGTTTTACGGCTCAAGTGTCTTCTGTGGATTGTGAACATTTCAAGTTGCTACTTGCTCCAGATTGGAAGCTATGATTTTTTTAAGTCAATGGCGTTTTTGGGTTATAAGGCCCATTTTAATGCCCACGTTTATCAAGGCGTGGACAATCAACGAGTAGGGCCATGTCAGTTAAATTTTCAGGAGTTTTCGGCTTGAGTGTCTTTAATAGGCTGTGAAAGTTTCAAGTTGCTACATCCGCTAAATTGACACTTGTGAATTTTTCAAATAGGGATTGTCTAAATGTCAATTTGTAGGCCAACTTTACCAAGTGGACAAAAATCAGGAATCGGGCCGATTTGCGTGAACTTTTTAGAGTTTTGAGGTTGAACTGTCTTCTATAGGCTGTGAAAGTTTCAAGTGTCAGCTTTCTCTGAATTTAAACTTGAAAATTTTTTAAACAAGGACTGTTTTTTGGGCGAAAACGCTAATTTTGCTCAACTTTTTCCAAGTCCAAACAATTTGGGATGTGGAAATTTGAGCGAAATTGTCATGATTTTCAGACTACAGTCCCCTCTGTAGAATGTGAAAATTTCAAGTTGTTTGTACCTCTGAGTTTAGAGTTGTGAGTTTTTCAAACGGGGAGTGCATTTTTGCGAAAATGTGGATTTTTGGGCCATGTTCACAACATCGGCAAAAATCAGTAGTTGGGCCGCTTTGAGTAAAATTCTTCTGGTTTTGAGACTGAACTGTCTTCTATAGATGTGGGAAGTTTCAAGTTGCTACTGCTTTTAGCTTAAAAGTCGTGAGTTTTTCAAACAAAGAGTACATTTGTGTGGAAACGTCAATTTTTCGGACAATTTTACCAAGTCGGTAAAAATCAGCAGTTGGGCTGATTTGATTGATATTTTCATGGGTTTGAGACTCATCTGTCTTCTATAGACTGTGACAGTTTCAAGTTTCTACTGCCCCTAGATTGGAAGTTGTGAATTTTTCAAACGAAGAGTACAAGTGTGTGAAARCGTCAATTTTTCGGACAACTTTAMCAAKGCGGTAAAAATCAGCAGTTTGGCCGATTTGATTGAAATTTTCATGGGTTTGAGACTCATATGTCTTCTATAGACTGTGAGAGTTTCAAGTTTCTACTGCCCCTAGATTGGAAGTTGTGAATTTTTCAAAATGAAATGTGAGTGAAATGAGTGCATCTGTGTGAAAACATCAGTTTTTAAGTCAACTTTACCAAGTCGATAAAAATCGAGTGCTGGGTCGATTGGATTGAAAACTTCAGAGGTTTGGGACTAATCGGTCTTCTATAGAGTACAAAGTTTCAAGTTGGTGCTTGCTCGGGATTGAAAGTTTTCAATTTTTGAAACGGAAAGTGCATTTGTGTGCGAATGTCAATTTTTACCACAAATTCTCCAAGTCGGCAAAAATGGGGGGTTGGGGAAATTTTTAGGGTTCGGAGACCGAACTCTCCTGCATTTATTATGGGAGTTTCCCGGTTTCTGTTCCTTCAAAATCACAAGTTGTGGATTGTTCAAACAGTGAGTGCATTTGCGTCGGAATGTCAATGTTCGCGACAATTTTATCAAGTCGACAAAAATCAGGAATCGGGCCGCTTTGAGTGAACTTTTTAGAGTTTTGAGGTTGAACTGTCTCCTATGGATTGTGAAAGTTTCAAGTTGCTACTTCCTCTCAATTGAAAGTTGTGAATTTTTAAAGCAGGGGGTGCTTCTGTATGGAAATGTCAATTTTTAAGGCAACTTCACTAAGTCGACATCAATCAGGGATCCAGGTGACTTAAGGCAAATTTTTCGAGTTTTGAGCTTCAGTAGTCGTCCATAAAGTGCGACAGTTTCAAGTAGCTACTTGCTTCAGTTTGGAAGTTATGCATTTTCCAAGCAAAGGCGCATTTGTGTGAACCCGCCCATTTTTAGGCCAACTTTGACTGAACCCACAAAATCAGGGCCTGGCGCGATTTAAGCATAGTTTTCAGCATTTTGAGAACCAGCTCTCTTCTATGGACTGTGAAAGTTTCAAGTTGCTGCGGGCTCCCGACTGGAAGTGCGATTTTTTCCAAAAAAAAGGGCGCTTGTGGTTGACAATGTTTACGCGGCCCTTAAAGTATCCAAACTGTTCCAGGACGATAAAAAGGACCAAACCAAGGGCCTCTCGACGTGGCAGACTTGGACGAAGCAATGGCGCGCCCTATGCGAATACAATCACGAACTAATACCCAAAGAGCCATCGTTTTACGATGCCACTGAGGGCCGAGACCGGGAGGAGCAGTAAGTTCGACCCTTAAAGCCCGTTTACACGCTCAAGCCATCTGAACGATTTGGCTTGCGCAAGCCAGATCTGTGCAGATGAACTGAACGATTTGGCTTGCGCAAGCCAGATCTGTGCAG